TCAAATTAAAAGCTCAGTAGAAATTCTGAAGGGGATGGTAATAGGCTAAAAACCCGAAATTGATACAGGGCTTAAATAAAGACTCCAGTGGAGCAGAGTATAGAATCCATCAGAAAGAAGGGGAGGCCAGGCAGGGTGTGGTGCATGACTGTTGTCTGTCATCTGCCAAAGGGAGAGTTCAGCGACTGAACCTACCTTATTGCAGAAAGCATATCTGAAGTTTGCCAGTGAGTGCGTCTGGACTCCCGGGCAGCTGAGTGTATTAACTCTGAGCTCTGCCTCTAGCTCTTGTACTAAAGTTGGTACAGGAAGGTAGCTGAACAGTGACTGTGTCACAGTGGTTACTACCTCTAGGAACTGACTTTGAATGGCAGGAGTCGGGAGCATGAAAGAGGTCCTTTCTGGTAAAGGTGTCCCTCAGTTCTGTGTGAGTAGCATAGAATTTAAAACATGTACATAAAGAGTATGGCTGTTAGCAGATCATAGGAGTTAAGGAATTAGCCAAAGCTATTTGGATCTGTATGAGTTTCAAAATAAAGATTATTAAAAATTGTCAGATGTCACCCAGAATAATGCTCTTTACATAGCAGTTACACTGGAAGAGATATGTACACACACACACACACACACACACACACACACACACACACACACACACACACACAGTATCTGAAGTTAGTGTGGAAAATGTTAGTATTTGACATACCTATATGTCAAATATATGTGGTTGGGAAATAATCATACCTTCTTCTTAAACTCTGTATCTGAACAATACAATTAATACAAATACAAATAATACAAATTTACTGTTCCTTTTCCAAAGTGCTAAGACTAGAAATGTCCCAGATTTGGGGTTTTGTTTTTGACTTTGGTATGGATCTGTGAGATATTTTAGGGATGAACCCAAATCTGAACACTAACTTCATTCCTGTATCCTGTGTACATTATGTACTCTAGTAAGTTTGTGTAGCTTAATTTCCTTTAAAAAAATCATTATATTATCATTAGTTTTATGTGTGTATGTGTGTCCCTGTATGAATTTACGTGTACTATGTGCACACAGGAGTGCATGAATGTGAGAAAAAGGTGTCACATACTCTAAAACTGAAGTTGCAGTTTTGAGTCGCTGTGTATCCCTATGTGCTGGAAACTAAACCTTGGTCCTCTGTAAGCATTGGCACTGAGTCTGCTCTCCAGCTTCCAATTTTAACCACCGAACCATCTCTCTAGCCCCCAATTTTACATATTTTTAATGTGCCTGATTTTTAAAAAAGGTTTGTGTGGTGTTTTTGCTTTTGTTTTTATTTTTGTTTTTGAGATATGGTCTTGTTCTGTAGCTCAAGCTGGCCTTGAACTCAAAATCCTCCTATATGGGCCTTCTAAGTGCCCGGGACTATGGCCATGTGTTCCCGCACCTGGCCTGTGCCAGTGTTTTGACTGAAACCATCATATAGGTTTGATAGAAACTTTTCCATCTGTATACCATCTTTGATAGAAACTTTTCCATCTGTATACCATCTCTTGCTCCCTTACTTTAAAAAACAGGTGAATTTCAGATGTTTGGATTGGGAGTACTCAGTCTTTATTTTAAAATATTAGGAGATGCCTATCTTGATGTGGTTATTGCTATTGTTGCCTTTATTTTTTTGCTATCCACTACCTTTTTGGCAAGTCACCTTGGCTCAGGAACAGGTCTGGAGGCTAGTTATCTTTGACCATCCTCTACAAGATGGCTTCCCTGAGTGCCAGGTGTTGTCCACTGTAGAACAGCTAGCTAGTAATAAAACAAACTCCACATTGTTGTTGAAGGTCCTTTCCTAAAATCCACCTAAATCTCAAGTGCTGAATGGGACTGAACTGGCTTTATCATGCCAGTTGAGTTAGTAGATGCGGTCCACATTTGAAGAGTCGAGAGCCCCCATTTCATGTTCCCCAAATCCTAAGACCAGAAGAAGCAGCATTCTCTTGAGCCTTAAAGATGGTAGTGAATTCTAGTCAGCCAAACCTGGGAGTGGTCATGGCCTTGGTTTCCGTCCCTCCTAGGGCTTTCATCAGCTAGTCTTTCATGAGTATTTTACAATAATAGGTACGGAAAAATACTTACTTCACCGAAGTTTCTGGAGATGACAGAATAGAGATTGCTGTCGTGAGATAGTAAAGAGTATGGGTGGGCACACATCTGGCCCGAATCTTAGCCCATGTAGGCATGGCCCAGGGGAAAGCCCTTGAAGAGATGAACTCTGTGGTCTTGGAACAGTGAGGAAGCTGCAGGCACGAGGTAGAGGCTCCTGCAAGCATAGGAGAGAGAGAGAGAGAGAGAGAGAGAGAGAGCGCGCCTCCTGCCTTTATTAGGGTCGAGAGTCTCCCAGGATGTGTTTGTGTCTTCACCTAAATTCTCTTGGGGGGGGGCAGTATTTCAGCTTACAGTTATGGTTCATCATGAAGGTAAACTCACTTTGAAAGCAGAAGGTCATTTTTTTTTTCATCTCTTTGCTGCTTGCAAAGATAAACTGCCTTAGCTTTAAATGTTTCAGTGTATTACTAAAGACTGGGCTTTTCATTTTCCTGTGAAAGCTTTCTTAAAAAAAAAAATTCTACCTCAGGAATTAATGGTAGGGATGTAATTTCTTTTTAAAGCAGCTTGTTCTGCAAAAGTTGGGAAGACACATTTAAGCTGTTATAAACATACTTTGTGTGTGCTGCAGGGAGAAAATAATCACCCAAGTTTGCTTACCTTGATTCTGAACTCCCCACAGAGAATGTAGTTTGTGTTTGCCTATGTGGAGTCAGATTAAAGGCTGCTTTTCCAGCCGTGGCTTTTCTGTCTCAGCTGAGCAGTCGGAAGGCACGAAGCTGCACAGAGCTCCACAGTCCTCAGCTGTGAACAGGCCTTGCTTTGTTGATAGCCCTTCACTGTGTCAGGGGCTGCTGACTGGTGCCAACTACAGCTCTCCGAGAGGCAACCCCTTGAGTGCATAGATGTCTGGAGGCCACTTGGTGTTTATGGAGCCGTGGCCAGGCTGAGCCAGGCCTCTGGAAAAGGTGATGCTCTGAGAGGTTTTGTCATCTGACTAGACAGCTGATTGCACTGTAATTTGTTGTACCTGAGCATGTCTCTGTTAGCAGAGTCTGTGAGGCTCTCTCTGTAGGAGTTTCAGTTGGGGGACTCCAGGGATAGGGGTGATCAGCTATATCACACACTTTGTCCCTGCCCTCCTGCACACAGACTAGAGCCAGGAGTGGGCAGGTGCAAGGAGTATGTTCCTGGAAAGGCTTATTTTAATAGCCTTTTTTGACTGTCACATGTGAGAGAACTCGGCCTTGGCTTTGGGTCAGATGCTGCTAGTGGTCCATAGCTAGAAGTCAGAATCCATTTGGAATATAAAGGCTGCCTTGCCCAGGCTTCAAAGGCTTGTGTGGGTTGGCCTCAGCCTTTTTCTGCTGCAGAAGCGGTGGCAGGGATGGAGTGTTGGGCCTTGGTCATGTACAGCTCCAGATGACAGGCTCTCGAAGAGTGAGAGTCACAACAGCCACAGTGGGAAGTAATCACCATAGAGAGTATGCTAGCAAATGCCTGTCACAGGCATTTCAGTCCTTCCTCAAGGGTTTTATTAGGATGATGCAGAAAGGGGTTTGCACTCTGAGGAGACAACTGAGTGTCCCAGGATGTGATGCTGAGGTGTTTAAACAATGTCCCATCTTTTAGCTGTCCTAATATCTCCGTTTGGAGTCCATTACTTTTGAATATTTCATTCCTAATCGGTTTCCTTACTCTACCCCTGTGGAAGAGGAGTGTAGACCTCACTGCCCACGCAACCACAGTGTCTAGAGAGCCTGGCTCCAGTGTCCTTGTCTTTCTCACCTTTTCCCTCTTGTCATCCCCCCTCCTCGCCTTTCCCCTCTGCACTGGAGTTCTGCGTGTTCGTTCTTTGCTAATCCTTTCAGAGGGAGTCGACTGTTTCTCCTCTCTAGCTCAGGGGACTGGGAGCTGATGATGGCATTGCATTGACAGCAGCAGTTAAAAGCTTGCTGAAGTGGAACTGAGCCTGGGCTATCAGCCAGGAAGGGCTGAGCCCAGTTGGCTCTGATCCTTTGGACTTGGGTCTGTGAGCAACAAGAATGGTGTGCTTCTTCGTCCTGTTGGTTTCGGGTACGTTGTCTGACGAAGAGCTAGTGACAGTGCCCGCTTCTCCTGTGGAGTATGCAGAAGTGAAATTCCAAGTCTAGAATCTGTTGGCCTTCGCAAGACTTACTTCTATTTCCCAGTGTGGAAATTGTAGGCTCCGTGACTGAGGTGGTGTTGCTACAGAAGGGGTGCTGTCCTAAACCAAGTTCTTGATTACTCTAGGATTACAGTACCAAGGTGTCTGTCTGTGACCCCTGAGGTTTTGTTTAGGGCACTGGCAACAAAGCAGAGTATGGTGTGCCAGGGGCCTGCTGGGAAAGCCTTCAGTTGTGTTAGGGTTGACTGGGTTTTTTGTTGGTTTGTTTAACTAAACAGCCAATTTTACACTGAAGAAAAATATAAAAAATAAACATTTCAACCCAACATGAAAAGTGAAAGGTCCTCAGATTACTCAGAATCCCATCTTGTGTATGTGGTGCATGCAACCAACCATACTTAGCTTTGGCATCCTGGTCACATCTCCACTGACCCTGTTGTTGCACTTCTAAACAGCACTTGTGTTCATGAGTGGTTTGAATCCTGTAGTTGGGAGGACTCAAGGGGTCACCTTGAACTTGGGCCGTGGCCATGGGCTTTAGAGGCCACAGTACCAACTCTGGCTATCCCCCTGTTCTCTGCCATTTGTCTGTCTGTATCTCTGGGCACTAGAAGAACTCTTCAGACTCTAGGTAAACATTACCCCTTTCTGAAGAAGGGATGAAAGAACATGGGTTTGCTTCCACTCTCAATTAGTCTGAAGAAGCAATAAGAAAGCTTAAGTTTGGGCAGAGGGGATGGAAATTGTCCAGTTTCTCAGTTTCTCCAGAAAGTAATCTACTTGTATGTGTTGGCAGGTGGAAAGCAAGTCAGCCAAGATGGATATCTACGACACTCAGACCTTGGGGGTTGTGGTCTTTGGCGGGTTTATGGTTGTTTCTGCCATCGGCATCTTCCTGGTGTCAACCTTCTCCATGAAGGAGACGTCGTATGAAGAAGCCCTTGCCAACCAGCGCAAGGAGATGGCAAAAACTCACCACCAGAAAGGAGAGAAGAAAAAGAAGGAGAAAACCGTGGAGAAGAAAGGAAAGACCAAGAAAAAGGAAGAGAAACCGAATGGGAAGATACCTGACCATGACCTGGATCCCAACGTGACCATCATCCTCAAGGAACCAGTGCGCATACCTGCAATGGCCGTGGCTCCAACTTCAGTCCATTCCTCTACGATCCATACCCCTGTAGCCACAGTCCCAGCCATGCCTCAGGAAAAGCTGGCTTCCTCCCCTAAGGACAGAAAGAAGAAGGAGAAAAAAGTAGCGAAGGTGGAGCCAGCAGTCAGTTCTATTGTGAATTCCATCCAGGTCCTTGCTTCAAAGTCTGCCATCTTGGAAGCCACACCCAAGGAGGTGCCTATGGTGGCTGTGCCCCCAGTGGGCTCTAAGACCAGTGCTCCTGCTACCAGCAGTCAGGGCAAGAAGGGAGAAGGAGCCCAGAACCAGGCCAAGAAGGGAGATGGGACCCAGAGCCAAGCTAAGAAGGGAGATGGGGCCCAGAACCAAGCAAAGAAGGGGGAGGGGGCCCAGAACCAAAC